TTATCCCCCCCCCCCTCCACCCCGCCGAAGACTTCACGTGTCACGTGGCAAACAAACATGGATTTGGACGACGAATACCAGGTTATTTATTCTGTTATTAAATGTTGCCTTTCTTATTTAAATATTTTTGAATTTAAACGTGATTCATATCTTTTTGGTGATATGTCACAGGAAGTTTCATGTCTTTCATAAAAGCGTTTCTAGTTAGCCACGTGATTAATCAAGGCAGAAAAATTTATAGCGGAAGACATGCATGTTTGACCAAAGAAAATGTTACGGACATGTTACATGCTAGCAGACGTCATCATCTTTGTTTATGAAGTACCATGCATATTTTGGCATTATATTAATGTTGATGAAGTAAGTTGAATCACTCTGAAAAAATTATTACAAAGTACGATGGAATTATTACAAATTGCGACAGCTTAGTTTATTACAAAGTGCGATGGACTGTTATTAAAAATTGCGACATCTTTTTTATTACAAAGTGCGACACGGTTTATTACAAATTGCGACAGGTATTACAAAGTGCGATGGATTTATTACAAATTGCGACAGGTATTACAAAGTGCGATGGATTTATTACAAATTGCGACAGGTATTACAAAGTGCGATGATTATTACAAAGTGGGACACGGTTTATTACAAATTCCGACAGGTATTACAAAGTGCGATGAATTTATTACAAACTGCGCCAGGTATTACAAAGTGCGATGATTATTACAAATTGGGACAGTACACCCTTTCTTGCCGTGAATCATCTCGTACAAGAACAAGATATAAAGTGTTATTGTGACCAGTTAAATTTGGTTTTCTAAAATCGGATTTGTCCCATCTACCAAAAATTTAAATCAGGGGCGGATCAGAGAAGGTTTGATGAGGGGAGTCTACATTGTTTCCAAGGACGAAATGTTGTCTGTAGAGGATTTTTCCCATCGTCCCCTGCCTGTCACTGCGCATTCTACCGTAAATCTCACAGGCAAGTTGGAACAAGTATGTGATCAAATAAATTAAAGTATTTCATGTTCAAGAGGTGAAATGTTGCCCAAGTTTCATTTTAAGCTACCATACAAATGTGGTATGCGACTTCAATTACAAAGCCCCGTATTAAGAAATATCTATGATCTGAAGGGACTATTTAAAGGGGTCCCGAAACGCCGTATCCGCCCTTAAAGAAAAAAGCCTTTTCCTAGTTCAATTAACCTATGGAATTGCTCTAAAGCTTGTGATATCTACCCTAAATCAACAGTCCATTTAATTTCTGATAAGTGTTCTGTTAGCCAACTTGACAGAAATACGCTTGCGGCAGTTAAAAAACAAAACAACAGTTACCGGCAAAAAGTCTAAAAGAAAAGGTCAGGCCTGTTGGCTGCCATTTCTTTGTGCTCTGGCAGAAGGAATGGCAGGAGGTCAGAAGGCACTTGGCAAAGGTTGGATTGAACTGAGTCAAGGAAAGGCTGTGTTGACACAGTAAAGGTTGACGTGCAATAAACTGAAGACACACCAGAATCCATGTTTTATCACTCCATCTGTTTTATTAGGCTGATTTAGCAACCGGACAGGAACGTCAGTGGACGACGGGAAAGCGCGCGGAAAGGACTAAACACCACTTCCGGTACCCAATTTGCCGCTCTGCCATTGGTCAAGCCAGTTGTTTGATCTGCGCGCGCCGTCGTCAGCTGACGCTCCCGTTCTGTTGCTAAATCAGCCTATTGGCAAGCGTTAAACGCGGTGAATCTTTATACTCGCACAATTCGTCCTTAACGAGAAAATTTCGTGGTAAACAGTGACCACATCTTAGATATCTCCTGACTTCTCTCTAAAAACCTACTTCAGCGCACGATCAGGCAATGCCACTATTAATGCTTTTGCCTCAAGCAGTTTTTAAGTGTAAAGTTGAGTAGGTTCTTTTCGGGTCCATATACAATTAAATTCAAATGCTTTCTGCTCCTTTGTTATCGGGCAAGGTGATAGTGGCAACTGATTTATTGTGATGTATTATTGAGATCGGTCGGGTAGATGAGCGAGAATCAAGCTGCGTCCTACGGCCTAATAAAAATGTTTTTAAGGCTTTCTGGAAGTCTCTTTTGAATAAAATGTAAAGAACAGGATTAGCGATTGACGTCAGATATCTAATGATGAGAAACGCATGCGAACACTGCATGAGAGCCGTTCTCATTTCTTCACTGATAGAGAACCAGAGACTGTTAATAATACTGAGTGTGTACCAAGGAAACCAACAGACGAGATTGACCAACGCCATCACAGTAAAAATTATTAGACATCTTCTCATATTGTGTACGTTCCCGCCATGAATGAACGAGTTTCTGTGGTCGAATTTTCCATCAGCTATAGCCAGGTTATATACCCCTTGATTTATCTTTCTAAAAATAGCAACTTGTAAATATGTAATGCTGATATAAGGGAAAAGAAACACTAAAATGAGGCAGACAACTGTGTAACCGGCCTGAATTTTTAAGGTCGTGTTGTCTAAAATGGCGCCGCCAGAGGAGAGGAATTCCCACCACCACGTGAGAGGTAAGAAAGCGATCAAAATACCAACCATCCATGTACCAAGAATTATCTTCAAAGTTGATTTTTTTGTTACTTGGCGATGGCGAAAAGGTCGAGTAATCGCATAGTATCTGTCTAAAGTTATTGTTAAGATGTGATAAACGACTAAAACAAGAACCATGTTATGTAACACAACCACGAAAAATCCCAAAGATATCTTTCCCGGTGAAGAAAATGTGCGTATCAAAAAAATGGGAATGTTGAGTATTCCGTTCATAAGATCACAAACTGCAAGACTTAGAAGCAAGTGATTTGTTGGTTGTTTCCTGAGGCGTTTTTCCTTAATGAATAAGTAAAACACGACACTGTTCACTAACGCAATGAGCACGGCGAGAGGTAGAACTTCAGCAATTATACGGTAATCCGAAGTGGAGTTGGTAGAGTTAACGCTGGTGGAATTGTCGTCTGCCATGTTCAGTAGCTTGGTGTATAAGTATCTTGCATATGAAGGAGTCGAATTCTAATCGATGTGAAATCAGTCAGGTCGTGTCCCAGTCTGAACTGCGTTGGGCTCTTCAGTTGTTTACAACACCCAAAAACCGCAAAGTTTTTCTTCCTCTTATAGACGATGACAACCCAGACTGTAATTTGAAAAGGTCATTATACCTTTTTAAAATCTCGTTGATAAGTAAAAGCATTGAGAAATTTATCATCTTACAGTGAAGCGTAAATCTCGGGAAGGGGGGTGGGGTGGGGGTTGGCTTGCGGCATCTCCTTGAACAGTTTCCCTATATTGTTTTCTGACATAAAAATTCATACCCTTAATCAGACCAGGATGAAAAGACAAGGATTCTCTCACCTCAAATCAAAAGAAAACTACGTCACCTTAAAACAGCGTGATTGTAGCTCTATAGCAATTGTTATTGACTTCAATCGTTATTTGATTTCAACATCCTCGAGTGTTTGTCGCACTTTAAGCCGCTCATTAGCTTATATTGTAAATTGGATTATTTTTAATACTGGCAAAAGACGTAACATGCTAAGCATATTTGAAGTCCCTTGAGTGGTTACGTCCTTTATACCAATATGTTAGGCCACTTTGATCAGACCTGGGCCATAGATTTTTAATATTGTTGTTATGATTTGTTGCGGGTATCACACTCTTTGGTATTAGAACTTACAGCTTATAGAAGACGTAAATTGTTATTATTATTGTTATTGTTATTCATTTCTTGACTGAGGGCTTCTTCTCAAACGTAGATGCAAGCTAAAACACATTCTGGGAAGCCTTGATCATGTATCGGATCACGCACTACAAAATTCACCAAAGAAAGTTCGTTAACAACAGCGTTATCTTTATCTCAAAATGACACAGCAGAGACCTTGATCGTGTAAACGCTATGCTAGCCTATGTCGAGGGAAAATTTTAAAGGTTGGTTCTGTCAAGTTATTGGTAGAAAACAAAACAAATGCGTAGAAAATTTTTAAAATGCCTTTTCTCTCTTAGTTTGAAAACATGCTTCCGGCCAAAATAGGAAAATTCATCAATACCCTTGCTTGCCTTGCTTAATCTGTTCCCCGGCTGTTGGGTGGGATACTAGTCCATCGGCATACTTGTCCACCGTAGGGGTATACATTTGGGGGAAGAAAGAAATAGTAATTGTAAAGAAAACAAGAAATAGTTTCTGGTCTAAGGAAACAAAACGACAGAAATTTTTGAATTCAGGTGCGAGCTTCAAAATAAAGATATAAAGAATGCTGTGTCATCTGACAATAAAGTAAACTCATGGCAATTAATAATGGATTATCTCTCGGCTTGGAATCCTCAGAAAAAAACCGACAACGTGGGAGTTGAACTTGTTTTTGTTTTACTCCGGAAAGCTTTATAATCGCGGTTACCGAGACAAAAAAAAACCATGGCCGGGAAGAGCTCCTTAATTATTGGAGAGGGTTACTGAAGAGAGTACCTCGATAATACTTGAAGCACTATCCTTGCAACATTGAATATTTTTGCTCACTCGCATCAACCATGATATTTAAAATTAAGTCTAAGAGATGATTATAATGCAAATGCATTAGCCCAAAATAAGAAAGGTCTATAATTTTTCTTTTATTTTATTCCGCGTAGTTCCTAACCTCGTAAAGAGTTTTGAGAGGTTGCTATAACAACCTCGCTACAGGTGATTATTGGGGCAAATGACGTAGTCCTGGACCAATCAGAGCGCGCGAATCTCCAAATCACCTGAGTAATAATAATAAATAAGAACGTTTTCTGGTGATATATTTTTACAAATGTGCCTTAAAAAGAAATACGCCAAAAAATGTGGGCACTTTTAGAGTATTAAACTTAATGTTTTTTTTATTATTATTATTCTCTCGTTTCCTTCGTCGTCGTCCTCGTCGTCGTGGCTGCTCGAGCTCGCTAGTAGCATCCAGACACGCAAGAAAAAATTCTGTATGTGTGACGATTTCGTTAAAAAAACCGACGAGTTGATTTAAAACACGCGACGAAAATGACTTTCACGTGGACAAAGGTTGTCACTTGAAAATCACAAGCCATAAACGATGACCTGAGGGTTTTCTGGGAATATTTACTAAGTAATGGTACTCCACTAGACATGACTTTGTTGTCACAACACTGTTTCATATTCAAGCTCCTCTGTACGGTCTAAATAAGCGTCTAGCTTACAAATTAAGGTTTTCGTTTGATTTATATGTTTAAAAGTATAGTTAAAAACAGTCGGGAGCTCTTTCTTAAGAACAAGCTTTTTAAAGGCATCAAGAAAATCTCTTTTGAAAAACGTGTACAGCACCGGATTTGCGGCTGATGTTACAAACCTAAAAATGGCAAATACTTTGGACAAATAGTCCAAAACGGCGAAGGTTTCATCACTGAGAGGAAACCAAAACGAAAACCAAAGAGATAAAACAAACCAGGGAAGCCAACAGGCTGCATACATAAATGCCATCAAGGCAAAAACTATGAGGCACTTTTTTTCCTGTCTTACATTTCTCTGGTTGGTTCCTCCTCTTACAGGCAAAGCGCACCTGCCGCGTTTTGCTATGGTCCTGAACATGGCAAATTGGGATACCATGATTAAGATGCAGGGAACCAAGAATACAAAAGTCAAACAAAACGTGACATAACCAAATTGAATCTTCTTGTAACGATCTGTTAGCTTCTTCGAAAACCAAGCGTACGGCATGGAAGCAATGACTGCTGAAACAAACCAAACCGCCAGCGCAACTTTGAACATGGATTTCTTGGTCAACCGACGATGAGTAAAAGGTTTCACGATTAAGAAATACCGTTCAAGCGTGATGGCGAGGATATGATAAGAAGCTGAAATAACCAGTACATTGTTGAAAATAAGGACGAAAAAGCCGAAGTTGACAGAAGCTGGAGGCTTCATTACGCGCATCACCAAAGTTAGGAACAAAGGGATGGCTATGAAGCCGGTCATGAAGTCGCACAAGCTCAAACTTAGGAGAAGGCAGTTGGTTGGAGTACGAAGACTTTTACATTTGGCAAATAAGTAAAAAACAAGGCTGTTCACCAGAACAATGACAATAGCTATTGGCAGCACCTCACAGATGACTTGGTAATCTGGTTTCATTCTCTAGGAGGACTGCCCTTCAGATACCACGATGATGAGTTTCTCGTTTAAAGTTACTCCAATTAAGTGACTAATTAACAGCTGCAGCCTTTAAGGTTAGCGAGTCTTCGTCAAAAAGAGTATATCATCAAAATCAAATCCCTTGCCGTTTCTTATACAGCAGTTTCCAAATCTTTCTTTGCGTTGATGTTTTTGAGCTCTAAGAAAACAAGTCAGCAACTTAAATAAATGTGTCAAAAAGAAAGGCCTTGAAAGTTCAAAAGATGGACTGTTGTCTTATGACGCTGGAAATGTAACAGGAAAGCCAGTCATCATTAAGTCATATTCAGTTCGATTCAAATTAATCAAAAACAAGTTTTCCCTCTCTGACACTTTTAGTGGCATTGATGGCATTTGTAAAGAATACAAACAAGTTCATCACGAAGACACCATAGAATCATTAAGACAAAAGAAATGCCTCTTTCTTGGAGCTACCAGCTGTTGTCGTCATGAATGTTTGTTTTATCTTATCAGGGACCACGTTCGAACGGCTAATGGCACTCTGGTGTAAATAAAAAATTGGATGAGGTTACTCCGGGATAATCTAGGTCGGAGAAATTATTATCAGCCGAGGCCGAACCCAGTTTCATTATTTTTCAAAAAGAAAGGACATTGCCTTGGAAAATGATGCATTGCGTGCGGAACCCTATAGAATAAGTTAGTCTCCTACCGGATAACCGATAGCAGATATCTGCTAGCAGATAATCTATAGGTTGCACTGATTTCCAAAATTACTTGTAGCCTCTTGGCCAATGAAAATACAGATAGTGAGCACAATGCATAAGAGAAAGGATAATCAAAAGCAAAATATGCTGTATAGGATGCAAATTTAAAAATTCAAAACCCTTTGAGGGGGGTTTGGATCCCCCTCCCCTCCCCCAAAGGAAAAAAAAACGGAAAGATTACTCTGTAGGGAATGTGTGTTTTAGTAATGATTATGAGATAGATTTAATTAAAATGCGAAACTTGATGCAACGCAAGTATCTAGCTGAAGCGAGGGAGGGGGGGAGTGTGCCCTCTAAACAATGTCCTTTTTCTGCAATTTGACACGTTATTTTGAATCAAGTGAGTGTTCATAGCGCGTGGTACCTTGTTTATCCTCGTGATTAAAGTTTGAATAATGGAAGCTTAGAGTGGTTTTCGTTTGAGTGTCGTAAAACCAAAACCAAAGTAATTACTCTGGCCAATCACAAAGGACACAGACAATACATTGAACCAATCAAAACTCGAAGTAATTACATGTGGCTGACGCAAAGCGCGGGAAAATGCATGCGAGCGCGTCACAATTGGCTTTGGTTTTACTTCTGATTGGATGAAAAGGTGGCGCGAATCTTTTAAGCCAATCGCATCGTGTAGAAAGTGCAAAACCAATTACTTTTCGACACTCAAATGAAAACCGCTCTAACAAACAACCGATCACAAAGCGATAGTTGGCCTCCTTCAATAACAGATTCTAACTGTCTCTTGAATTACAATTAATCTAATTGGAAAAAAAGAGATGTTGTACATTGCTTTTATTTTCTGGAAAACAAACTACCGCGAGTAAGGAGGTATCTTTTAAAATGACACAATATTTTATTCAACAAATCATTCTTGATTCTTACAAGTCTTAGTAGCCGAGCCTGCAGAAATCCCCATAACAGGCAAACGTCCTTATAATTTACAAATTTATTTTACATTTTTTCTTTCGTTAAGTCCTGGATTAAAAAACGACGATAGTTTTCTTACTTAATTTTCACTTCAGGCAACTTAACAATGCCGTCCCTTTGATGTCTGAGTTCTTAGATCTTATTATTTAAGTTAAAGACGAATACCAGGCTGATTTACAATCACTCCGTTAAGAGAATATGATATTAACGGTCCCATTCTGTTACTTAATATATCAATTAAGGCATCGATAGACGACTGATTAACTGCTGTTAATATTTACAAAACCTCACAACACTGACTCACAAGTTTCTAAAGAAGCATCTTGTTTGCGAATTAGAGTTCGCTTTTGAGTTGTTACTCTAGAGTTCTGAACAGCTGGCTTTTTCTTAAGAACAAGCGTTTTGAAAGCATTAAGGAAATCTCTTTTGAAAAACGTGTACAGGACTGGATTTACAACTGAAGTTACAAAACGAAAAATGCCGAATACTTGGGATAAATGATCCAAAATGGCGTTGGTTTCTTTGCTTTTTGGAAACCAAAGGGAAAAGCAAAGTGATAGAACAAACCACGGCAGCCAACAGGCTAAATATATAAACGCCATCAAGGCAAAAATAGTCAGACATTTTTTATCTTGTTTAGCTCTTTGCTGAGAGGTTTCTCTCCTAGTCAAGGCGCACCTACCACGTTCTGCTATGATCTTGAACATGCGCACTTGAGACACTACGATTAAGATGCAGGGAACCAAGAATACAAAAGTCAAACAAAATGTTATATAACCAAACTGAATCTTCTGGTAACTGATTCGATCTATAAACTTCTTCCAGAACCAAGCATATGGCATATAACCAATGACCACTGAAGTTAACCAAACGACCAGCGCAATTTTCATCATGGATTTCTTGGTCAGCTGACGATGGACGAACGGTTTCATGATTGCGAAATATCGCTCAAGCGTGATGAGAAGAATATGGTAAGCAGCTGAAATAGCCAATGCATTGTTGAAAGTGAAACAAAAAGACCAAACTGGACTAAAGCTGCTAGGCTAATGTCTAGCATACCCTGCATGCCTATCCCCATAATTATGAATAAGGGGATGGCTATAAACCCGGTCATGAAGTCGCACAAACTCAAGCTCAGAAGAAGACAGTTGGTTGGAGTACGAAGACTTTTACGTTTGGCGAACAAGTAAAAAACAAGGCTGTTTGTCAAAACAATAACAATTGCTATAGGCAGCACCTCACTGATGACCTGGTAATTTACTTTCATTCCTTGTGGTAATTCCTCACCGGATAAAGTTCCATTTGACCTCTCTGATGATGACCTGTTCGTTATGAAGTAAGTGTTATTCTGCATCTTCAGTATCCGGCAGTAAACAGCCAAAAGATCATCGGATGCAACCCAATGTTTACTCAACCTAATGCTCCTCCCACTGACTTGAAAGGGTTTTCGATGCTCCTAAAAAGATAATTAAAGAAAAATGTAAAAGTTTGTTGTTAGGTTTAGACGCTTCATGTTATGTACCATACCTAGCCTAGGCAATGGACATCTTTGAACGCGCTTCGACGAGGCTGCTCTTTTTCGATGGACATCTTTGAATGCGTTTTGAGGCGAGACTGACAGTTTATGGCCACATTTGACTACGCTTGTTATGTGCTTTGAAGCGACCCCTACGATCAACGGAAATCTTTGACAACGGTGCACTTTGGGGTGACAAAAAGAAAACAATCAAGACTGGCAATTTTTAATTTTTCGACCTTTAAATTTGAAAAATGAACTGATTGAATTCAATTTTCCTGTTTTTCGAATTATAAATTAAAACTGAGATTTTCATGTTTGATTTTACTGAAAACTAAATGGACGGAAGGAATAAGGGTTCGTGTGGTTTTCGTCCATTTTATTTTTATTCCAAATTGAAAATTGAAATTCAAAAATTCACAATCGTGAGTTTCAATGTTTGATTCCTCAAAAACTGAAAATCACAAATTTACAATCTCAATTTTCAATGTTTTAAGAAATCAAAAATTGAAAATTGAAAATGGTCAGTTGGTAGTTTTTATTTCTTGTTCTTAGGGAAAAGGAAAACTAAACGATAATCTTCAATTTTGAGACTTTTGCCTGGTACCGAAGTTAAAATTGTATTTTCAATTTCCTATTCCATAGATTCCAGCTTATTAAAAATTCAAACTTGACAAAGCTATTCATGTGTAACGAAACTGCGGGAAACAGTATCAATGATGATGAAATCCGAAATGAAAATCGTTTTTTGATTTTTGTATTCGATAAAAACAAAAATTGAAAACAGACCAAATATAACTGTGACGGGTGGGGGAGGGTAAAAGCGGAAGTGGTGCCACTGCAAACAAGATGGCGGTCGTCTTGTAGTGAAGGAGTCTTCGTCGAGCCGTCTCTGGGGGAAATGCTACGCCAACAGCAATCCAAAGCTTGCCTGTATCATGGCCGAGACGTTTTCAAAGAAATAATCTGAATGTTTTTTCACTGATAAGTATGCTTTTGTTGTAACCTTGCAGCATTATACGTACACAACGCAGCCAGGTAGAGCGTTTCAGATCGGCTGTGAGCTGTGGACTGCGGCCAGACTGCGGACTGCGGACTGCTGACAACGGACTGCGGACTACGGACCACGGACCGCGGATTGCGGACTGCGGACTGCGGACTGGGTATGTATAAAATACGGACCAGGTATAAAATGCGAACTACGTGCTATGTTTTTAACTGAGAATATTGTCACTCGACCCTAACCATGTATAACTCCTTTAATGTTGTTGTTAAAGTGAAGGAATTTTGGGTCTAACAAGAAAATCTTTTAAAGATTTTTCCTTCCGATAAGAACGAATGGGGGCGTGGGGATATATTTGCGCGAGTGCTGTTGTGATGACAGTTCGTCAGTGTAAATTTTATTGTTGTGTGGAAAGAGTTCGCGAAATCAATAAAGTTGTTGATTTCGGTCTCAGGAAGAGTCCACACTCAGAATATAACATCAATAAATTAAATTTCTTTCAGCCGGAGAAATGGCTCTAAGGGCTCGCATGTAGTAGTTGTTTCTCAACGTGAGCCATGAAAATGACCGAGAAAGCAACCGGGTGCCATTTTGGTGGCCATTGTAATGCCGTGAGTCTGTACGTAGTGTTTGTCGGTGAATTTGAATTAGTTTTCTGTTAAGATCACCCGCATTAAGTCTCCCAAATGTGAAGTAAGGATAGGTAACTTTGACTGATAATGTTCTTCGTAATGGTGACAGACGATGTCGATTCCCTCTTCCTGGGAAATGCTAGTGCAAAGAGAACACACGT